GAGGCGAGGGCTGGGGTGGGAAGAACTCTCAGAAGCTTACGGTAGCTAGGTTCTCCTCCTTCCCCTGGTCTTGGCTCAGAGAGGACAAAGCACTTGTCAAAGGTCTAAGGGTTTCCAGACTCCCAGGCCAGCATCCAGCAAACGTCTATTTCCTGCCCCACCTACCTGCCTGCCTTCCTTTCACAGATATTTCCTAAGCATCTAATATGCACCAGGTATATGTTAGAAGTGTCCCATGTATCATTTAGCAAGAAGTGTAGTCTAGTGGAAGAGAACCGGGCAAATAGCTATGCTCCTATGACACTGGGAGGCAATTCGAGTAGTGATTAAGTGCATCCACTTGAAGTCAGGCAGACTACAGTATGAACTCAAGCTCACTTGCTAGTTGTACAAACTCAGCCTCAGTCTCCTTGTCTGTAGAATGGGAGCATATGACCCTTGCAGAAGACCAACAAGATGATGTATAAAAGTCATGCCTAAAAACACTTTTTAAGTACAATAAGTAAAATTCATTGTCCGTTGTGTAGGTGGTGTAAGTGCTGAATGCTAGGGGAGCAGCACCCCGGTCAGACTTGAGGAGACTTCCTAGAGAACATTCAGTGTTGTAGAAATTTGAAGGATAAGTAGAAGGTACTAGAAGAAGGAGGAGAGGTGGTTAAGTGTGGGGGGGTGTTGGAGGAAGGTGAACAGGGAGGAGTAGACAGACAACTTTGGGGAGCATGGATGTGCACCCCTGGTTCACCAGCAACAGGGACAAGGAAAAGCCTAGCTTGCAACCAATCAACATACATTTAGTGAGAACCAACTACGAGTCTCTTTCAAAGGCTATAAGAGATAACGAAGATAAATGAAAAATATGAAAGCCTGGGACGCCTGGGTGGCTCAGTTGGTTAAGCAGCTGCCTTCGGCTCAGGTCATGATCCCAGTGTCCTGGGATCGAGTCCCGCATCGGGCTCCTTGCTCGGCGGGGAGCCTGCTTCTCCCTCTGCCTCTATCTGCCTGTGCTTGCTCTCTCTCCCTCTCTCTCTGACAAATAAATAAAATCTTTAAAAATATATATATATATGAAAGCCTGATCTTTGCGGCTCCTGGCTGGCTCAGTCAGTAGAGCATGCGACTTTTGATCTTGAGATTGTGACTGGAAGCCCCATGTTGGGTGTAGACATTACTTAAAAATAAAATCTTAAAAAAAAAAAAAAAGTCTGACCTTTATTCTCGTATGCCTTTAGAAACCAGGAAGAAGAAAAGGGACACCCAAACCCCCTAATCTGAACCTTGCTAGCCTGATCTCCTTGCCTCCAGCATTCTTACTAGTGGTCCCTCTTCTCTCACTGTATTAACACCCTGCCTGGGTGCTGTCCAATGAGTGGACGGCCCACTCCCTACCACCCGCATTTTTTTTTAAGATTTTATATATTTATTTGACAGACAGAGATCACAAGTAGGCAGAGAGGCAGGCAGAGAGAGAGAGAGAGAGAGAGCGAGGCAGGCTCCCTGCTGAGCAGAGAGCCCGATGCGGGGCTCAATCCCAGGACCCCGGGATCATGACCTGAGCCGAAGGCAGAGGCTTTAACCACTGAATCACCCAGCCGCCCTTACCACCCACATTTTTACACCACGCAAGAATGGCTAAAATAAACATGAACCCTACCTCTGAGGGGAAGAAACATATCAAGAGACAGTCTATTGATCAAACCAACATTTCTATAGTTCTCTCTCTTTTTTTTTTTTTTTTTAGATTTTTATTTATTTGACAGAGAGAGACACAGCAAGAGAGGGAACACAAGCAGAGGGGAGTGGAAGAGGGAGAAGCAGGGTTCCTGCTGAGCAGGGAGCCTGATGCAGGGCTCAATTCCAGGATCCTGGGATCATGACCTGAGCCGAAGGCAGATGATAATGACTGAGCCACCCAGGTGCCCCATTTCTATAGCTCTTTATAAGCTTACACCGGCGTTTCCCCTGTGTCAACTCATTTCATCCTTACAAGCGCCTAATGGACTAGGCAGCATCCTTAGATCTTCTTATGAAGGAAAGAGACGTATAGAGCTGAAAAATGACTTGATTCCTTTGTCATCCTAAGAAATTAATGCTTTATCTTAAGGAAATTGGAGTTATTGAAGGCTGTGGAACTGGGAAGTGAAATGGCCAGATTTTTATTTAAAACAAAACAAAAAAATCCTCTAAAAAAAAGGGGGGATTGGTACACCTGGGTGGCTCAGTCGGTTAAGTGACTGTCTTCAGGTCATGATCTTGGAGTCTTAGGATGGAGCCCCACGAAGGGCTCCCTGCTCATCAGGGAGTCTGCTTCTCCCTCTGCCCTTCACCCACTCCTGCTCTCTGTCTCTCTCTTTTGCTTTCTCTCTCTCCCAAATAAATAAAATAAAACCAAAACAAAAATTTTTAAAAATCCTTAGGTAGGTTAAGAATCGTGATTTCCTACTTGGCTCAGGAGTTCACAGGCTGAACTAAGTTCCCTTTATGTGTTCACTCTATCACTGTGCAATTTCTATTTTCAAATTATCTAAACAGTTCATTACAGTCTAGTGAGATTTTGTATCTCACTCTTCTGCTTCCAGTCTTTTAGTGGTTCCCCTTACCCCAAGATAAAGTTCAGAGTTTTTTGTTTTGTTTTGTTTTGTTTTTTTACGATTTATTTATTTAGGGGCTCCTGGATGGCTCAGTCGTGTCTGCCTTTAGCTCAGGTCATGATCCCAGGGTCTTGGGATCGAGCCCCATATCAGGATCCCTGCTCAGCGGGGAGCCTGCTTCTTCCTCTCCAGCTCCTCCTCCTTGTGTTCCCTGTCTCACCATCTCTCTCTGTCATAAATAAATAAAATCTTTTAAAAAATGTATGTATTTATTTGAGAGAGAGTGGTTAGGGGCAGAGGGAGACCTTCAAGCAGACTCCCCTCTGAACGCAGAACCCCACACGGTGCTCAGTCCTACGACTCTGAGATCATGACCTGAGCTGAAACCAAGAGTTGGATGCTTAACCTACTGTGCCACCCAGAAGCCCCTGAAGTCGTCCTTAATGAATCCTACAATTCCTCCCAGTCCTGCCTTACCTTTGATTCATTCATCCATTCAACCTTTACCAAGTGTCTATTATGAGCCAGGCATTCTAGCAGTCAGTGGAAACTGAGGCAAATACGAGCAGCAGTCTTTGTTCCTGAGAAGCTTATGATCTTTTAGGGAAACAAAAGTTGAATGAGTAATTACAAGGTTGGTTATATGGGACCTAAGGCTCTTTCAGGAGTTGGGGGAAGGAAGGATTCCCTGAGGACACCACAGATAAACTGAGTCCAGAAGGATGAGAGGAAGTTAGGTAGGGGTGGAGAGAGACAGGGGGGTTCCAGGCAAAAGGACTCTGGCTTGAGGAAGATCATGACACACTGGAAGAACACGTATAGGCAAGGGAGGAGGAGGCTGTGGCTGAACTTGCAGACCAGATGACTCAGAACCTTGAAGGCCAAGTTAAGGTGGGAGCACTTTATTCCCAGGGTTCTGGAAAGCCTTGAAAAGATTTAAGCAGGAGAGTGTAATATAAACAGATGAGAGTTTTCATACCCCCCCTTTTTTTTTAAGTGATTTCTACACCAAACGGGGGCTCAAATTCCTAACTCTGAGATTGAGAGTCACGCGCTCTTCTGACTGAGTCAGGCTGGCAACAAAGAGCTGAGAGTTTTTAAGAAGGATCTGGTAGGTGTTCTGGGCACCACAGATTGGATTTGGGTGTTTCCAAATCTCATCAGCCTTGGGTTTACAGATAATACTTTGGGGTCTTTTACCAATGGTAAATCTATCACCTATAACCTGTTGGTGTTCAATAAATGACTGGAATGTGACCCTATTTACAAATTTCTAGGGATAGCAGAATTCCTCACTGCTGTTGGATCATTCAATAAACATTATTGGTGGGCTATTTTTGTGCCCAGCACAGGTCCAGGTGCTGGGGATATGAAGATAAATGAGACCTTACTCAATGTACAAAAAAGAGAAAGAAATTGGATCCGTAAAAAAAAGTTTTATTTCATAGATAACAACAACAGAGTCAAAAGTCAACTGACAAAATATTTTCAATTTCTTTAAATGATTAGTATATTGTATTTATGTATATTTAAAAGTGTAAAATAGCGGTGCCTGGGTAGGTCAGTCATTAAGCATATACCTTTGGCTTGGTCGTGATCCCAGGGTCCTGGGCCAAGCCCCACATCAGGCTCTCTGCTTGGTGGGGAGCCTGCTTCTCCCTTTCCCTCTGCTGCTCCCCCTGCTTGTGCACTCTCTCTCTTGCTGTCTCTCAGTCAAATAAATAAATAAATAAATAATAGAAGTGTAACAGCAGGGGCACCCGGGTGGTTCAGTGGGTTAAGCCTCTGCCTTTGGCTGAGGGCTTGATCTCAGGGTCTTGGGATCCAGCCCTGAGGGCTCTCTGCTCAACAGGGAGCCTGCTTCCTTCTTTCTCTCTGCCTGCCTCTCTGCCTACTTGTGATCTCTCTCTCTCTCTCTGTCAAATAAATAAAATAAAATCTTAAAAAAAAAAAAAAGACGAAGTGTAACAGCAGCTTTGGAAAACAGTTTGGCAGTTTCTTATAAAGTTAAACATATATTTACCATAAGACCCAGCCATTCCAATCCTAGGTATTTACCCAAGAGAAATAAAAACATATCTACACAGACTCTTACATGGGATTCATAGAAGCTTTATTCATAAAATCAAAATATAGGAAATACCTCAAACATCCATCAAAAGGTGAGCGGAGGGGCACCTGGGTGGCTGAGTGGGTTAAGCCTCCGCCTTCGGTTCCGGTCCTGATCTTGGTTCGGGTCCTGGGATCGAGCCCCGTATCCCGCTCTCTGCTTGGCGGGGATCCTGCTTCTCTCTGCCGGCTTCTCTGTCTGCTTGTGATCTCTCTCTGTGTCAAATAAATAAATAAAATATTAAAAAAAAAAAAAAGGTGAGTGGATGAAGGACGACTGCCTGGCTCAGTCACTGCATTCAGTGACTCTTGATCTCCCGCATTGTAAGTTCGAGCCCCTCACTGGGCAGAGAGATTTATTTATTTGTTTGTTTGTTTATTTATTAAGATTTAATTTATTTATTTAGGAGAGAGAGTGAGAGTGAGCATGAGTGGGGGGAGAGGCAGAGGGAGAAGGAGACACCCTGCTGAGCAGGGAGCCTGATGTGGGGATTGAGACCAGGACCCCCCGGAGCCAAAGGCAGATGCTTAACCGACTCAGCCACCCAGGTGCCCCATAAATGAATCTTTTTATTTTGATTTTTTTTAAGATTTTACTTTTGGGGGGCACCTCGGTGGTTCAGTGGGTTAAAGCCTCTGCTTTCAGCTCAGGTCATGATCCCGGAGTCCTGGAATCAAGCCCCGAGTCGGGCTCTCTGCTTAGCCAGGAGCCTGCTTCCCTCTCTCTCTCTATCTGCCTGCCTCTCTGCCTACTTGTGATCTCTGCCTGTCAAATAAATAAATAAAATCTTAAAAAAAAAAGATTTTACTTATTTATCTGAGAGAAATGAGAGTAAGAGGGACAAGCAGGGGTGAGGGGAGGAGCAAAGGGAGAGAGAGAAGCAGACTCCCCACTAAGCAGGGAGCCTGACTCAGGACTCAATTCCAGGACCCTGGGATCATGACTTGAGCCAAAGGCAGACACTTAAGCAACTGAACCACCCCCGCTCCCCTAAATAAATCTTAAAAAAAAAAAAAAAAAAAGTGAAAAGGGATGCCTGGGACGCAGTTAATTTTATCTCAAAAACCAAAACAGAACAAAAGACAATTGACAGGGAAAAAATATTTGACGTATTTTAACAAAGAATTTATCTGGTTTCTTGTTTCTTTTGTTTTTAAAGATTTTATTTATTTGACAGAGACAGTGTGAGCACAATCATAGAGTCAGGCAGAATGATCGGGAGAAGCAGGCTCCCCGCAGAGCAGGGAGCCAGATGAGGGACTCCATTCCAGGACACCAGGATCATGACCTGAGCCCAAGGCAGAGCTCAACCAACTGAGCCACCCAGGTGCCCCTCGTTTCTTAAGTTTTTAATTCCTTCATTAACATACAGTGTTATTAGTTTCAGGTGTACAATGTAGTGATTCAATAATTCACACATCACCTGGTGCTCATTACAGCAGCAAATACACGACTTAATCCCCATCCCCTGTTTCACCCATTCCCCCCACCGAACTCCCTCCCTTCTGGTAACCACGTTTGTTCTCTATAATTAAGAGTCTGTTGTTGTTGTTGTTGTTGTTTTAATTTGTCTTTCTCTCTTTTTTTCCCCTTTGCTCTTTTGCTTTGTTTCTTAAATTCCCCCTAGGAATGAAATCCTGTGGTATTTGTCTTTCCCCGACTTATTCCACTTAGCATTATGCTCTCTAGATCCACCCACGTCCTTGCAAATGGATATTTTTAAGACTTGATTTTTTTAAGTAATCTCTATACCCAATGTGGGACTTGAACTCAAAACCCCGAGATCGAGAGAGATCGAGAGTTGCATGCTTCACTGACATGTATATGTGCATATATATACATGTATGTGTGCACATATATATATATTTTTTTAAGTAGGCTCCCTGCCCAATGTGGGACTTGAACTCAAAACCCAAGACCAAGAGTCACATCTTCTGACTGAGCCAGCCAGGAATCCCTCGTTGCAAGTGGATTTTAACAAATAATTGATATCTAATGTACATAAATAACTTTTTTTTAAGATTTTGTTTATTTATTTGACAGAGATCACAAGCAGGCAGAGAGAGAGAGGAGGAAGCAGGCTCCCTGCTAAGTAGAGAGCCCGACTCGGTGCTCGATCCCAGGACGCTGGGATCATGACCTGAGCTGAAGGCAGAGGCTTTAACCCACTGAGCCACCCAGGCGCCCCCAGACTGACAATTTTTAAAATTGGTGAGAATTTGGGAAACGATCATTTTCACAGTGAAGGTATGAATATAACTGCAAATATTTGGGGGAGATTTTTTTTTTAAGATTTTATTTATTTATTTGACAGAGAAAGAGAGATCACAAGTAGGCAGAAAGCTAGGCAGAGAGAGAGAAGGGAAGCAGGCTCTCTACCGAGCAGAGAGCCCGATGTGGGGCTCGATTCCAAGACCCTGAGATCACGACCCAAGTCGAAGGCAGAGGCTTAACCCACTGAGCCACCTAGGGGCCCCCTGGGGAGATATTTTGGAAGCATATCAAAATTTTCTATGTGCATAATCTTGACTGGACAATTCTACTTATTGGATCTATACTGATAATATGTATTGAGTGCATAGTGTATGCTGGGATTCTGACCATAGCTCAACTATTCTATGGCATAAATACTTTTTTTTTTTATGATTGATTTATTTGAGAGAGTGAGAGCACCTGTGAGGGAGCGGGGCAAGGCCAGAGGGAGAGGGAGAGAAGCAAACTCCCCACTGAGCGTGGAGCCCAACTTGGGGCTCTATCTCATGAGATCAGAACCTGAGCTGAAATCAGGAGTCTGACGCCCAACCAACAGAGCCACCCAGGAGCCCTGGAATAAATACTCCTGTTTCTGCATTTTACAAATGAAGGTTAAGTGACTTGCCCAGGGGTCATGCAACTAGTAAGTGACAGAGTCAGGAATCACAACTATGGTGTCTCTCCAGAATCTGTGCTCTTAAGCATTCTGCTCTGCCTTTCCCCAGTCTCTCCTAAATGCCATATGTAGGCACATATACATACGTATGAAGATATTTGCTGTGGGAGAGTTTGAAAAATCAAGAACTGCTGGTACCTGGGTGGCTCAGTCAGTTAAGAAATTGCCTTCAGCCCAAGTCATGATCTCAGGGTCCAGGGATCAAGTTCTGCATCAGGATCCCTACTCAGGGGTGCCTGGGTGGCTCAGTGGATTAAAGCCTCTGCCTTCGGCTCACGTCATGATCTCAGGGTCCTGGGATGGAGCCCCACATGAGGTTCTCTGCTCAGCAGGGAGTCTGCTTCTCCCTCTTACTCTGTCCTCCCCGCCCCCCATGCTCACTCGCACTCTCTCTCTCCAGCTCACACTCTCTCTCAAATAAAATCTTTAAAAATTTAAAAATTTAATTTAATTTAAAAAATGAAATATTAAAAAAGAGTGAGATAGGGGCATCTGGGTGGTCAGAGGTTTAAGCCTCTGCCTTCAGCACTGGTCATGGTTTCAGTGTCCTGGGATCGAGCCCCGTGTTGGGCTCTCTGCTCAGCAGGGAGCCTGCTTCTCCCTCTCTCTCTCTGCCTGCCTCTCTCTGCCTACTTGTGCTCTCTATCTGTCAAATAAATAAACAAAATCTTTTAAAAAAGAGAGAGAGAAAGAAAACAAAAAGAATTTTTAAAAGAGTGAGAGAAAGAAAACAAAAAGAATTAAAAAAAGAGTGAGATAAACTAACATGAAAAGATCTTTAACAGATTTTGTTAAAAAAAAAAACGAGCTGTAGAATAATACTTATACTACCTATTTATATAAAAATACCAATAATGGGGGCGCCTGGGTGGCTCAGTGGGTTAAGCCTCTGCCTTAGGCTCAGATCATGATCTCAGGGTCCTGGGATCAAGCCCCACATCAGGCTCTGCTCAGCGGGAAGCCTGTTTTCCCCCTCTCTCTCTCTGCCTGCCTCTCTGCCTACTTGTGATCTCTCTCTCTCTCTCTCTCTCTCTGTCAAATAAATAAATAAAATCTTTAAATAAAAATAAAAAATTAAAAAAAAACAATAATGAAGAGATATGTGTGAACAAAGTAAGTATGCTCAAAAGAGCAGAGGACTTTTTCTATTTTATTCACTGTTGTGTCTTCATTGTCATAACAGAATGGTGCCTGGCACGTAGTAGATATGGGGTAAATATCTGTTGGAAGTATATAAATATACGTAAATGCATAGAATAGGGACTGAAAAGCTCCAAACCAAACTATGACCTGGTGAAGGTGTTTCCCTACTTTGGGAAAAGAGAGAAAAGTGTGTGCAGGATACATCAGTGAAGGGAGGTGTTGTGTTACTCCCCCAAACTTCTGGCTGTTTGAACCTTACAGAAAGAGATGATGTTTGTGTGTTACTCAAGTAAAGTAAAACAAAATCCAAACAGATTTTGGATTGGAAGGATGGGTCAGTTGGTGGGGGGTGAGGGGCACCTGGCTGGCACAGTTGGTAGAGCATTTGACCTCTTGATCTCCGGGTCATAAGTTCAAGCCCCACTTTGGGCATGGAGCCCACTTTAAAAAAATTAAATAGGGGATTAAGGACTACACTTGTGATGAGCACCAGGTGTTGCATGGAAGTGTTGAATCACTATCTTGTGCACCAGAAACTAATATTACACCATATGTTGACTATTTTTTTAACCTTTTTAAGATTTAGGGGCACCTGGGTGGCTCAGTCAGTTAAGCGTCTGCCTTCTGCTCAGGTCATGATCCTGGGATCCTGGGATTGAGTCTTACATGGGGCTCCCTGCTCAGCGGGGAGTCTGCTTTTCTCTCCCCGTCTGCCTGCCATTCCCCCTGTTCCTGCTCTTTCTGTTTCTGACAAATAAACAAAATCTCAAAAAAAAAAAAAATTAGGCAATCTCTTTACCCACTTGGTGCTCAAATTTACAACCCTAAGATCAAGAGTCACATACTCTACCAACTGAGTGAGCCTGGGCTGATAAATTGGAATTTAAGTTAAAAATTTTTAAAAATGTTCTTTTTCACACACATACACAAATCCAAACAGATTAAAACAACAATAACAACAACCACAATGAAAGCAAAATTGTCTTGCCACATTTTCATTTATTTCTCTTCAACCCTTCCAGATAAGTAATAATAGCCTCACTTTATAGATGAGGCAACCAAGGCTCAGCCTGGTTAAGCAACTCGCCTCATGTTGTCCAGGTATTAAGCCTGGATGTGAACTCTGACCTGTAGCTTCAACAACCGAGGCTCACTTCTCTCCACTATGTTTATAAATGTACAAACAAATAAAATGTGGAAGGCTGCAGAGGGGGAGACAGCACAGGTTGCAATGGGGGCACGTGGAGAACCATGGACAGTTCTAGGGAGAGAAGGGATATTTCTGGAAAGGGTTCCAGAGATGAAGTTTGATTACAGACTTGAGAAGTGAGTTCCTGGGGCCCCTGGGTGGCTCAGTGGATTAAGCCTCTGCCTTCGGCTCAGGTCAAGATCTCAGGGTCCTGGGATCGAGCCCCGCATCGGGTTCTCTGCTCAGGAGGGAGCCTCCCCCCTCTCTCTCTCTGCCTGCCTCTCTGCCTGCTTGTGATCTCTCTCTCTCTCTGTCAAATTAAAAAAATAAAATCTTTAAAAGAAAAAAGAAGAAAAGTGAGTTCCTGAAGTACTATGGGGGAACGGCACTCCAGGCACATACCTGTGTGTCCATCAAGGGGATGTCACAGAGGAAACCACTTGGCCTATTTTGTGAAGGGTAAACAGTTGAATGGACATGGCTGGAGCTTTACTTACATCTCCAGGTGAAAAGTGAGGCCTAACAGGGTACCTGTATAGCACAGTTGGTTAAGTGGTTAAGCATCTGTCTTTGGCTAGGGCCATGACCCCTGGGATCCTGGGATTGAGCCCCGGAGTCTAGGGCTCCCTGATCATCTGGGAGTCTGCTTCTCCCTCTGCCCTTCCCCCCATTCTCTCTCTCTCTCTCTCAGATAAATAATAATAAAGAGAAAGGTAGGAGTTCTCTCTTGATAAGACTCGCTGGGGACCCTGGAGCCTCTTTTGAAGAAGATCAACCTGGAGAAGAGGAATCCATTCTCTACAGTAACCACACCAGTTAGGCAGTGGGTGAAGACGCCTCATAAGGCAGTGATAATAAGGTAGTGACTAGGGACATGGAGAGAGAGGATGGGATGAATCTGACAGGTATTTACAGACAGGACTGGCATGGTTGATGGCTGATTTCTGCTGTGAGGGGAATGGGCAGGAGTCTGAAGAGAGAAGTTTGTTGGGGAGAAACCTGGGCATCAGTCCCCTTAAAAAGGATCGCTTGTTTATATATTTCCTTCATTGCACTAACATCCAGTATTATAATTAGCTGGGTATGAGTTGGCCTCCTCTACTAAGCCACAAGTTCCTTGAGGGAGGACCATGTCTTGTTCATCTCATCTCCTACAGAGTCTAGCCCCATCTCTCACATGGGGAATGTTTGACACTGAATGAAAGAGCACAGGGGAGAGATTGGCTTTGGTCTCAGTTGGGTTGGAGGAGATGGAATGGTGGGAGATTTACAAAAAAAAAAAAAAATCACACGTTGAGGGGCACCTGGGTGGCTCAGTGGGATAAAGCCTCTGCCTTTGGCTCCGGTCATGATCTGAGAGTCCTGGGATCAAGCCCCACATTGGGTTCTCTGCTCAGCAGGGAGGCTGCCTCCCTCTGCTCCCCCCGCCCCCGCCTGCCTCTCTGCCTATTTGTGATCTCTGTCAAATAAGTAAATAAAATCTTAAAAAAAAAATCACACAGGTTGAGAGGCAGGAAGTTCCCCCGCCTACTGTCTCCCTCCTCAGCCTTGGTCAGAAGCCAGGCCCAATTTTCCCTGAGTCCTTTTCTGGCTGGTCAAGAAATGGGTGGCTTGGGGAGTGGGGGAGATTGTCTCCCCTCAAGTCGGCTACCACCACCACCCAGAAAGTGATTCTAAAAAGGCTCTGTGAAGGAAGCCTCAGACTTCTACTTCTGTCCTCTAAACCACCAAATCTTGAGCTGTGTGGCAAGAGGTGGCATGTCTTTGGCACTGTGCCATAAGCTGATGTGGCAAAGGGAAAAGAGGAGAGAATAGGCGAGAAGACACGTACTCCAGCAGAAAGAAAAGGAGGCCATGGGCCTGATACTGGGTATGCAAAAGGAGAAAGCACTCAATGGGTATTTTAACTATTATGAGTATTTAATTAAAAAATGTTAGCCGCTTATAATTTAAAAGTGATTTAAATCAGGGGTGCCTGGGTGGCTCAGTGGGTTAAAGCCTCTGCCTTTGGCTCAGGTCCTGGTCCCAGGGTACTGGGATCGAGCCCTGGGTGGGGCTCTCTGCTTAGCAGGGAGCCTGCTTCCTTCCCTTCCTCTCTCTCTGACTGTCTCTCTGCCTACTTGTGATCTCTGTATGTCAAGTAAATAAATAAAATCTTAAAAAAAAAAAGTGATTTAAATCAGAATAGAGGGATACATGCTCCCTGCTGAGCAGAGAGCCCGGAAGTGGGGCTCCATCCCAGGACCCTGAGATCATGACTCAAGCCAAAGGCAGAGGCCCAACCCACTGAGCCACCCAGGCGCCCCCCAATTATTCCTTTTTAAAAGTATTATAAGATAATTTACAGGCATGAGGGGCGCTTGGATGGCGTAGTCCGCAGAGTATGTGACTTGATCTCAGGATCATTGAGTTTGAGCCCCAGGTGGGGAGTAGCGTTCACTCAAATAAAAAATAAAAAAATAATTTATAGACATGACATTAAACCCTTAAATATTTCACTATGCTAATAATGACATGTCCTTATATAATCCCAACACTATTATCATGCCCCCCAAATTAACAATCATTCCTTAATATCATGTAATACCCAGTCCTCATTCACACTTTTCCAACTGTCCCCAGTACGTTTTTTTACAAGTGATTTGTTCAAAATAGGATCATATTGCATGTGACTCTTTTTTGCCTCTTAAGTCTCTTTTAAGCAAGAACAGCCCTTCCTCCTCTTTTTCCATGCCCTTGACTTGTTGAATAAACAGTCAATTGCCCTGTAGAATGTCCTACCTTTGGGATTTTTCTTATTTGTTTGTGTTTCCACTTACCTTATTCTGCCAGCCCCCATATTTTCTGCAAGCCAGTGATTAGATGTAAAGACTCCTTTAGATTCAGGCTCAATGCTTTTGGAAAGACTACTTGTTAGGTGATGCAGTGTTCTCCATATTACATTACATCAGGCACACATAATGCACATGTCAGGGGTGGTCTGACTCAGTGTTTTTGAAGCTGGGAGGAGGCTGAGCCTGAGGGGACCTAGGCAGTCAATCCCCTGTGGACTGGGAAGCCGAGCTCTGGCTGAGCCCCAGTCTGCAGGGCTGCTGGTGTGTACCAGCAACAAGGGGGCTGAGTTCTGGGGGGAGGCACTGAGAAAAGCATCACCTTGAAGCTGGCAGCTTGGATTGGCTCAGTCTTAGAGCAGGATTGAGCAGAGTTCTGGGACACAGGCAGATACCACACAGACAGCCTCCCTTAGTCCTGAAGGTGGAGACTAAGCAGGCAAAATTCCCCAGGATTGGGGTTGGAACCATTCCAGGACCCGTTCATGCTGTCCTGCACTCTCCACGGCAGAGAGCAAGAAACCTTCCTCTTTAGCTCTGGGCCCATTAGTAATGGGCCTGGTAGTGCTGTGGCTCAGAAAAATTCCTGACTCTACTAGCTCAGTTTTTCTTGTTCCCTGGCTTCCAGGTCCTGCCTTACAGTACTTTTTTTTTTTTTCTTTTAAGCTTTAGAGTGTCAGTGCTTGAAAGAAGCTTGTGTACCATCTAAGCTAGTCCGTCACTGAAGAAATTCCATTCTTCCTTAGAAATAACTGCATGTTAGATGGTGAAACCAGAAGGTACAGTTTATTTCCCCAGACTTCAATCATTCCCACTCCACCTGCATAATTTTTAACATTATCAGGTTCCCCTTGTTCCATAGTATACCATTATTCTTTATCATAACAACACCCCCTCTGAAATGATAGGTTTGGTAATGTTGTTGTTTCTTCCTAAAATTAATCAGAAGAGGGGCACCTGGGTGGCTCAGTCTTTAAGCAGCTGCCTTCAGCTCAGGTCATGATCCCAGAGTGCTGGGATCAAGCCCCGCATGGTGGGGGGGCGGGTAGTCCCTGCTCAGGAGGGGGCCTGTTTCTCCCTCTGCCCGCTGCTCCCTCTGCTTGTGCTGTCAAATAAATAAATAAAATCTTAAAAAAATAAAATTAATTACAAGAGCACACAAAGAAATGTTCACATTCCACCAGTTAGTAAGTACATCACACTTTGGGAAATGCCACAGAAGTAGAATTGTTGTCAGTTTCATTCTGCCTTGGACCTTGGTTGGGCACATTTCTCAAGTCCTGAATGTATTTCCTAATCAATAAGAAGGAAGTTAACTACACTCTGTATAGGCGTTAGTCACCAGTTTTGTTGGGAATGACTGAAGGCAAGTTCTTCCTGGGAGACTCCCAGGGACCTTTGTCCAGGCACGTCTCAGCCCCTGCGGTGGTGGGGGAGGGGAGAGCAGAAAACAGGCCAGCCTTGGTAAAGATTACCTCTCAGCTGGGCTGGAGAGCTTCACGGCAGTGGTGGGAAAACCCCTGCTGGAGGCAAAAGTCTGGGAAGCTCTTGCCCTCTCCCACTCTCCCACCTTGCACTCTCCACCGTCTCCCCTGGCCACTTCAAGAAGGAATGAACATGGTGTTCCAGAGCCTTGTCCCCACAGAAACCACCCACTAGCCCTGGGGACAGTGCAAACTTCCGGAAGAAGAGACGAGAAGTTATATGTCACGCCTCGGCCTCTACGAACCTCAGCTGGCTTCCCGGGTCGGGGGAAGGAGGGCAAAGCGGGAAGGAGGGGTTTGCGGTTGGGGAGAGCCAGAGGGCCCACCCCTCTCCGGAAACTTGGGGGTGGAGAAACCCAGCCCAGCTCACACCAGACAGCCAGCTCCAGGCTAGGCCTGGGAGGCCTGCAAACCCCACCCCATTCCTCTGGGCACCTCGTGGCCCAGGCGGGTTTGTTTATGAATCCAGCTCCCTCCTCCCACAGCCCGGCCCTCCGCCCGCCCTCAGGGTGGCCCTAGTTGCCTGGGAGGGGGAAACTGGGCCGCCTACCCCCCTACTCCTCCCCTTCCTTCCTCCAGCCTCTCCTGTGGCTGAGCGGGGAGGCTAGGTCCTCTTCCCAGTCCTGCTCCGTGTACCGTTAGGGCCATTTTCCTTAATGGGAATGGAAAGCTGCGGGTGGTGTAACTCTCCCACCTCTGGCCTCTGGTGAGGACTCAGGACTGTTTGTCCCAGGAGAGGAAGCTGTTGCATTTTTGGTTAAAAGAGGAACTTTACTCCTCTTAACAATGCTAAACTGCAGGGCAGGACCCCAGTCACTGTTGGGGTGCAGCAGTCTGGCTGGGGGTGACTGGTGGGTAAACTGACACTAGGTACTGGCATACTTCCAGGTCTGGTGAGCTGAGGTCCCTGAGGTGTCTGAAGGGTTTGGATATTTTAGGGGAGGCAAATGTTTTGATTATGTGTTTATTTCAAGCCAGACTCCACAGGGGGCAGATTTAAATGTGCAGAAAAGCTGTCTCCTTGCTCAGTTTGGGGTCTAGGCTTCTTTCTGAGCTGTCCTTGCCCCTGAGCCTGCCTTCTCTAGCTCTCTCGAATGTGGATAGATTGTGGAATTTAGTCTCAGACCTTCCTCTTCCTCTTCCCCACCACCTCAAACCACCTCTGCTTTTGTTTGTCTAATTGTCTTCAAGCTCTGGAGACTATCAGCTGGGTTTAAAGTCAGCCCCGTCATCTTGCAGCCCTCAGAAAAGAGAATATTCGAGAAGTTTGGTTGGGCCAGATTTCAACTCCAACAATAACTAAGTCGTGTTGTTGACCATGCCCCCCAACTCTCAAGAATTTTCATTTCCCCCACCCTCAGCCCTTCTTCCCCCTCCAGGCCTTTAAGATCGCCAGAGCCACGGACAGATTGCCAGACTGAACAGAGGCCTTCCTAGTACAAGGTACAGAATAGGCAGGGATGAACCACAATGCTTCTCAGATACAGAAATAAAGACATAGCAAAGGACAGAATAAATCTTTTTTTTTTTTTTTTTAAGATTTTATTTATTTGCCAGAGAGACAGAGATCACAGGCAGGCAGAATGGCAGGCAGAGGGAGAGCTTGGAGAAGCAGGCTCTCAGCTGAGAAGGAGCCCGACGTAGGGTTCAATCCCAGGATCCTAGAGTCATGACCCGAGCCTAAGGCATCCACTTAACTGATCTACCCAGTGCCCCAAAATGAATCCTTTTTTTTTTTTTCTTATTAAGATTTTATTTATTTATCTGAGAGAGAGTGAGAGCATGAGAGAGGGGAGAAGGTCAGAGGGAGAAGCAGACTTCCTGCGGAGCTGGGAGCCTGATGTGGGACTCCATCCCTGGACTCTGGGATCATGATCTGAGCCAAAGGCAGTGGCTTAACCAACTGAGCCACCTGGGTGCCCCCAGAATGAATCCTTTTTTTTGTCAAAGATTTTATTTATTTGACAGAGATCACAAGTAGGTGGAGAGGCAGGCAGAGAGAGAGAGGGGGAAGCAGGCTCCCTGCTGAGCGGAGAGCCCAATGCGGGACTCGATCCCAGGACCTGGGACCAAAGAGGTGGTCCTGAGGACTTGAGCTGAAGGCAGAGTCGTTTTTTTTTTATTTGACAGGCAGAGATCACAAGTAGGCAGAGAGGCAGGCAGAGAGAGGAAGGGAAGCAGGCTCCCTGCCGTGCAGAGAGCCCAATGCGGGGCTCGATCCCAGGACCCCGGGATCATGACCCGAGCTGAAGGCAGCGGCTCAACCCACTGAGCCACCCAGGCACCCCGAGAATGAATCCTTTTAAATAATGATAATAATAAAGAATATCTGTAATCATTTCTGGATTTCTCATCAACAGGTTCTGGGCTTCCCAAATAGAAACCAGGCTTAATATAGTCCTTTTCTTAGTTTTTCACCTTTCCAGGGCCCTAAAAAGACTGAGGGATGTGCGTGATGATCCACCCAACTTCTCCAATCACTACTGCACTTCAGATGACCCTAGATAGCGTGGTGTGAAAACCCTAGGCTTGTTTTCTTGTTCAGAGAGAAGCTTTCTTGCTTCGAAGACTGTTGATGCTTTATTATCTCATCAGGGACTCTCTCTTACTTTTTCTTTCCTGACCTCCTTTATCCTAGAGTAGGCAGAATAGGTAAAATAGAATAGAACAGAATAGAATAGAATAATATGGGGGCTCCTGGGTGGCTCAGTCAGTTAAACATCAGAGCCTTGGTTTTAGCTTAGGTCAGTATCTCAGGGTTGAGGGATTGTGGGATGGAGAAGCTGTGTAGGGCTCCGTGCTGGGCATGGAGGCTGCTTGAGACACACCACCCCCCACCCAACTCGTGCATGTGCGCATGCATGGTCTCTCTCTCTCAAAAAGATTTTATTTACTTATTTGACAGACACAGCTCACAAGTAGGCAGAGAGGCAAGCAGAGAGAGAGAGAGGTGGAAGCAGGCTCCCTGCTGAGCAGAGAGCCCAATGCGGGGGCTTGATCCCAGGACCCTGGGACCATGACTGGAGCCAAAGGCGGAGGCTTTAACCAGCTGAGCCACCCAGGCGCTCCTCTCCCTCAAAAAAAAAAAAAAAAAAAAAAAAAAAAAAAATTATGGGGCACCTGGGTGGCTCAGTGGGTTAGGCCTCTGCCTTCAGCTCAGGTCATGATCTCTAGATCTTGGGATGGAACCCCACATCAGGCTCTTTGCTCGGCAGAGAGCCTGCTTCCCTCTCTCTCTCTGCCTGCCTCTCTGCCTACTTGTGATCTCTCTCTGTCAAATTAAAAAAAAAAAAAAATTAGTCTGTTTTGTATTTATTTTTTCGAATATTTTATTTATTTATTTTACAGAGAGGGCACAAGCAGAGGGAGCCGCAGGCAGAGGGAGAGAGAGAAGCAGGCTCCCCGCCAAGCACAAGGATCCCAACATGGGGCTTGACATGGGGCTCCATCCCAGGACCCCGGGATCCTGACCCAAGCCAAAGGCAGATGCTCACCAACTGAGCCACCCAGGTGCCGCAAGTCTGTTTTGTATTTAACAGCTGTAGTTGAAAGCTAACTGAGAAGGAAGTTTACAATGATGGTGTAAAAGGAAGGTTTTGAAATATCTGCATATTTTATTTTGTAAAATGTTCCCAGTTACCAGATTGCTAAGTGGAAACTTTTTTTCAAGTTTATTTTTTTAGTAATTTCTACACCCAACACGGGGCTGGAACTCACTACACCTAGATTAAGAGTCACAGGCCTTTCCAACTGGGCCAGCCAAGTTGTGCCAAGGTGTGCCAAGTGAGAAATTGATGAAAACAAGAGTGGCTTCAAAGTCAAGAGGAATGATTTAATTTATAAAAGGCAAGCAACTGAAGGCTGAGAGTCAGTTCTTGGCCTTGTATTTTCTGGAGTTCTGTTTAGGATTGGGGGGACTAGACTTCTTTCACTTTAGTGTTTGTTTACTGGGTGTCAATTATATGCTATGCTAGGCCCTGAGGATACAAAGCAAAAAAGCATCACCTAGGCCCTCAGAATGCTTTAGTTGGAGGAGATTGGATATTTACATACCTCTAATGGAGGTATGTTAAAAGAACATAGTGGACAGAGTATTCAATCTCGGGAGTTAGGCAAAGACTTCAGAGAAGTCATTCTTATCAAAGCTAAGAGGAAGAGTTCGGTACCCCAGAAGGAGGGTAAGCTGAGTAAACTGTGGTTCTGAACTATGGAGACCCAAGAAAGAATGCTTTGGAGGAAGAGTCCAACAAAGAACAAAGTGAAAGGTAAGAGTGCAATGGACAGTAATGGAAGATGAGCCTGAATAAGTGAGGGGTAGACCACTAAGAATCCTGACAGCCACTCTGGAGTGTTACCACTTAGTGCTTGTACTATTATGATTGATTTTGAAGTAAAACATCTCTCAAATGACCCATGTTGCTTTGTAAACACAGTCATTAGGGGTTATTTAAATGATTTCACAAATGGTTATGTAGACAGACACTGGCATGTGTGGGATTTGAGAAACCTTGAAATAAGTTATTCATTTAAAAAAATTTTTTTTAAGATTTTGTATTTATTCATTTGATAGAGAGAGATCAGTAGGCAGAGAGAGATGGAGAAGCAGGCTCCCTGCTTGCGGAGCAGAAAGCCTGATGCAGGGCTCGATCCCAGAACCCCGAGATCATGACCTGAGCCGAAGGCAGAGGCTTTAACCCACTGAGCCACCCAGGTGCCCCATTTTTTTTAATTTATCTTAGTTTTGTTTAAAGAAATTTTGTTCAGGTTTTCACAGACGAATTGAACAAAATGGGTCATGCCCATTTGCTCTCTTATCGGTAAATAGACCTTTTTCTCAATACCTAGGATAAAATCAAACTCTAATTCCCATTTCAGGGATAAACTAGCTTAGAACCATGGGAAAAAAACACAAGCTTTGGAACTAAACAGAACTGTCATAATTTCTGTAAAAGGGAATGGGAACTTAAATTAACTGAAAGGATTAAGTTAGACAATACATATATACATAAAACACTCAGAGGAGGGCTCTATGTTAGCTCCTACCCCACCTCACCCCACCGGCCCCTGCAACTTTAGGTGTGGTCTTTTGCTGAATACACTAAACAGCTGTTAGAATCTCCAGAGCTTGGTTTACAAAGATGAGTAATGCGGTTTCTAACATCCCGGAAGTTTCAGTTTCTTCCCTTCTGGAAGTTTCTTCTTTACCGTTTCATCCCTTAGTTTTCCCTTTTATTAGTTTTTTTTTTTTTTTTTTAAGATTTTAAAAATTTATTTGATAGAAACACAGCAAGAGAGGGAACACCAGCAGAGGGAATGGAATGGGGAGAGGCAGGCTTCCCGTGGAGCGGGGAGCCAGAGGCAGGGCTCAGTGTGGGGCTCGAACCAAGGACCCTAGGATCATGACCTGAACCGAAAGCAGTTGCTTGACAACTGAGCCACCCAGGCGCCCCATCCTTTACTGTTTCTTAAACTTTGGTTTAGGGACTAATCACTTGAAAGAATTAGTTAAAAAGTTAATATTCTCAAGCCTCACCCCAGAGAATCTGATTTACTAGGTCTGACATGGAGACTAGGAATCTACCTTTTTCAAATTTATGTATTACGTAATTATCTATGTATTTATTTATTTGATAGATTTTCATTATTCCTATTTTTATACATGAGGAAGCCCAGAGAAGGGCATTTTGGCGGCTCAGTTGTTAAGGGTCTGCCTTTTGCTCAGGTCATGATCCCAGCGTCTTGGGATCAAGCCCCAGGCCCCACGTGGGACTCCCCGCTCTGGGGGAAGCCTGCTTGTGTTCTTCTCTCGGTGTTTCTGTCAAATAAATAAATAAAACCTTAAAAGGGTGGGGGGAGCCCAGAGAAGTTATTATTATTTTTTTAAGATTTTACTATTTGAGGGGTGCCTGGGTGGCTCAGTCGCTAAGCATCTGCCTTCGGCTGGGGTCATGGTCCTGGGGTCCTGGGATCTAGTCCCACGCCAGGCTCCCCGTTCTGCGGGAGGCCTGCTTTTCCCTTTCCCACTCCCCCTGCTTGTGTTCCCTCTCTCACCATGTCTCTCTCTGTCAAATAAAATCTTAAAAAAAAAAAAAGGATTTTATTTATTTGAGAGAAAGACAGCACATGAACGGGGTGGGGGGTGAGAGGCCAAGAGGAAGAGGAAGAGGAAGAAGCCAACTCCCTACGGAGGAGGGGACCTCTGTGGAGGAGGAGGGGCTGGATCCCAGAATCCTGGGATCATAACTTCAGCTGGAGGCGGCCGCTAAACCAACTGAGCCACCCAGGAGCCCCAGAATCTACCTTTTTAAACAAAGCAGCCAAGGGTTTGGATAGAGACTATCTGACATATTTTGGGAAACTCTGATCTAGGGAGAGATGCTATTGTAATGTAATTTGTAATGTAATGTTTTATATAAATGTATACAAGAGGATAATGCCATTTGAGCTGTCATAGAAGTTAGATTTAGTAGTTTTCAGGAGCTAAAAAGGAACAATACAAAACACTTAAAAATACATATGTAATTATTTCTTTTATTAAACCCATTTTTATAAATGGTTTTATCAGGCCTGCTTTATTCAAGAATCTATGGAAGGCTTTTTGTGGGACTGCTCTGGGCTGGAATCTGGCACTAAAACTTAACTAGCTTTGTGACTTTGGGCCAGTTATTTACCAGCCTAAATTTCCTATAAAATACATTAACT